ACTGGAGCAGCCCGGGAGCACGGGCCACCCGGCCAAAGCTTATTTTATTAGTATCATAAAAAGATTAAAACCTTTATCCCCTGAAAAACCCTCCCCAGCCCTTCTTTTTACACCGTCCCGAGGCAGCCCGTGTGGAGCTGCTGCACGAGTGCCATCTGAGGAACATAATCCTCTTGGGATTTATGGATTTCTCCCTCCCACCTGTCCCGCGATGCGTTGGATGTTGATTCATTTTAACTCCAAGGTGCTGATCAGCCCGGAAAGTGACGGCATTATTTATTACGTGTATTAAAAACCAGACCTCTCCAACCTTAGAAGACAGGTTTAAAAACGTGCAGGACTCTTCCACCTTAGAAAAAACCTATTTTTAACAATCTCCCAACATCCTGACGTGGCTCCAACGCTCCTTGGAGAAGCTTCTCTGGCCAGAGATGGATCGTAACACAGTGATTCAGTTCCTGTGTTCTTCTGAGCCTTCAAGGAAAATTGTGGTGATTCATTTTTCCATACGACAGAGCTGAGGAACATACAGGTCAAACACGAGTGTCCGATACACGACGGAGGGGCTGTGCCTGTGCTCCCACCGCCTCTCCAGTGAGATGGGCCGTTTTACTGGGACACCAAAGCCGCAGCTACAGCGGAGCTGCTGAGCCCCGACAAGATGTTCTTGACAGGGCACCTCTATCCCACTCTCTGCAACTCCATCCAGAGAGGAAGGCTGAGTATCAAACCCTGGGACACTTCCAGAGTGACAGCCATCCACCATTGCCAAATAAACACAAAGTTGAGGAAGAAGGCACTACCGCTATGACTTTAGAAGCTCTCAGTGAAGTTTTGCAGCTTGGTGACCTACCTGGCAATTCAGGAAAGTGAATTTTTCTTCAATCTGTGGCATCTTAAAATTCTACATTAGTCTACCGTCACCTAGTATAGACAGATGCCAACGACGAGCCAAAAAAATACACAAAGCTTTAAGCTCTTTTTTTGTTAAAACCGCTGGGAGGTTGCCTGCACAGCAGCTGTTTAATTAATTGTTCTGCCATATTTACAGCATCCAATTTTTTCTGTGATTCACTCTTTAAGGCTGGCAGTACACTGCGCAATTTTCTTTAATAAAGCTCGATAAAATTCAATTTGTTGTATATGATATGCACTGAAAACACCCACAAGCACGGCTGCGCTCGCTCCGACTTCTCCGGCTGACCGAAGGCGGAGGGTGAGAACACGCTTTTGCCAAAAGAACAACCTTCCCCCCCAAAAAAAACCCACCCAACACAAATAACCCCAACCCCAAAAGTCAACGTCCTCCTGCCTGCTGCATTCACGGATGTCACAATACAGGTCTGACACTTCAACTGTTCCCGGAATGATGGATGGTGACACCTCTGGATGAATAACACAGCGGGAGGCAGTCAGTCAATCACAGCAGCAAAGACTTGGGGCTGCACGGAAATGTCTTGAGAAGCAGCAGGAACAGGGGAGGAAGAATGCAAAGGAACAGATGGGGTGTTTTAAGGAGGTTTTAGGAACCATCGCCTAAAACACCACTTGCGCATCGATGACGCGGTCAGGACGGCCACCTCCGTGATGCGGTCGGTGTTCCGTTCCCAAAGTGGGAGTTGTTAATCCCATTGGAAGGTCACAATGGGAAGTTTCACCTTCCAGTGGTGGGAGGCTAAAGGCTGGCTGTTTAACGGCACCCAGGTTTTTTTTACAAAGATCAGAATTGTTCCCTCCTTGTCTTTGTTTTGGGTTTTTTGGGGTTGACTTTCCGTGCTCAGCGATGGGTGCCTTCTCTTTCAGGCACACCGCTCACCAGCCTGCTCCAACGGCCACGTGTGTCCCGGATGAACCTCAGCCCTGGAACACTATGAATCCAGACAGCTTACGAACGAGACGAATCGGGATGATCACAAGAAGAGGAATAAAAACCAAACAAAACCACTTTTCCTTCCATGCTACCATCTGATTCGTTTGGTCAAAGCCCAGTCCAGCAGCACCTGTTCACAGAGCAGGCAGAACAGAGTCCATGAGTGGCGATCCAAGTTCACAAGCAGGAAGAAAATGAGAGAGTTGTGCGCTCCAGCCTCCATGGTCAAAGGCCTCGTGGTGCTCAGGTCACTTGAAAGCGGCGTTGAAGGCCCTGCCGATGACGAGCCTGCGCACCTCGCTGGTGCCGGCCCCGATCTCGTAGAGCTTGGCGTCGCGCAGGAAACGCCCCATCGGGTAGTCGTTGATGTAACCGTTCCCTCCTGCCACCAAAGAGAAGCCAAAAAGTCATTTCTTCGTAGATTTCATAGATTTCTAGGTTGGAAAAGACCTTAGAGATCATCCAGTCCAACCGTCCCTAATCCCCCATTAAACCATATCCCTAAAGCAGTTCATCCACCCTTTTCTTAAACGCATTCAGGGATGGAATCTTCTCTCGGATCGCAGGGGCTGAGAGTGGGATGGGGGAGAGCACCGCTCCGCCACGGCGTGCGGCGCTCTCCAGCGATGGCTCAGAGGAACACGCACCGCCAGTGACTCACCCAGGCACTGAATCCCATCCAGAGCCACCTGCGTGGCACATTCTGCCGAGTACAGGATCACCCCGGCGCAGTCCTACAGGAGAGGCACAACGGTGACAGTCAGGAAAGGTGTCACCCACCCGTGTCCCACCTCCGTGTTGCTCTGACCTCTCCGTTACTCTACGGACACCTGCTAACGAGCAGAACTACGTGACCACAAAGGCAGGGGATGCGTTCCCCAGCGAGGGAGAAGCCGCAGCAGTCCTTCCGTCACTACAGAACACTCGTGCCAGGTCTGCAAAGGCCACAGGAAGACAGAAAAAGGTGCCTCACAAACACACATCATACCCCCCAGGAGGCTGATGTGATCTGATTTGGGGTGCGGGGCTCTGCATGCCAACTGTCGGACGCTCGGTCCCCTCCTTTGCGGGGATGCCAACGCCCTGGAACGACTGCTGCAGCCTCTTTGGGCTTCCATCAAACACCTACTGACGCTGCCAAGTCTGCTGCCATGCAGAACACAGCTTTTTTTTCATTTTGGGGGAATTAAAAAAACCCCAAAACACCACTCAGGGCTGCGAAAGAGTCATTTTAACGCCCAGCACAGAACCTCCACCCTGCTCACGATCCGGGACCGAAGGGAAAGGAATTCCCCAGCAGACAGCCCGGGTGGGAGCGAGCTCACCTTGGCATTGAAGTGGCCCTGGTCACACGCCTTCGCCACGTTGTAGACGTACTGCCGACACGCCGTCAGCCGCGTGTACATATCAGCCATCTTGCCCTGCATGAGCTGCGCGGCGCGGAGGACGGGAGAGACGTTAACGTGAGCGAGGGGAAGGTTATTTTCTGCATGAGCACTGGGGACCACCCGCTCCCCAAGCCATCTCACAGAAACTAGACAAATGGGAATCAGAGACTGGTTCCATAGAGTTGGAAGGGACCTCAAAGATCATCTAGTTCCAACCCCCAAGAGAGGGACTCAGCAGAAGTATGGATTTGTAACCCCCTGGGTGCCAGCCGCAGCGCCAGCGCAAACCCCGAGCCACCTGCACGCAAAGGCCTCCCATGACAGAGCTCCTCGTCCTCTCGTTTTTTAAAAGGAAAAGCAAGACAAGAAAAATTTCTAATTCCATTTCTGCCTCACCTGGAAGTGGCCAATTTTCTGTCCAAAGGCTTCTCTTGCATGTAGGTAAGGAATTGCGTGGTCAAGAACAGCTTGCATGAGCCTACGGAAAGCACAGACATGCAGGAAAAGGAAGATGATAGAACAATTAATACCTTATAGATAATAATATATAATAAAAGAATAATTAAACCTTGGAAGCTCCATCTAAGGCAAAAAGGTTCTCTCATCTAAAGTGAGAAATACACTCAAACAATGCTACGAATAAGATCCAAAGGTCTTGTTTTTCTCCTTAGCACTCCACATACTGCTCATTTGGGACATCTTGTGGTAAGCTCTTACCTCCTTAACTCAGGAGGTGGAGTTGAAGAGCTTTCTTAGAACTGTAGCTAAGACAGTTTGTGCTGCCTTGTATCTCCAGAGAGCACCAGCTCAAGGAGTAGTAGCCAACACCATAAAAAAAGCATAGGCAAGGATAAGAAGGGTGAAAAAAAAAATCCTCCTCCTGCTTTGTGGAAGATGGTCTTTCCACATGAGGGTTAGTACAGAGAGACCCCTTGGGAGGACAAAGGGACTACAGGGCAAAAACAATTACTGGGGAGCTTAAGGACCGAATAAATGAAGAACAAAGCCTTTACCCAGTCTGGCGTTCCTCTGTGTGCCAGTCTGGAGAGTGGTTTAGATTTTACGGAATCAATGCCAGAAATGAGCTGGTTATTCCCACAGTAACACACACTGTAGGGATACACCAGCGAGCACGCGGGGACCAAGGCACATTGACCATCTCTGGAAACGTCTCTGCACCCGTCAGAGCAGCTACGGCATCGCTCCAGCACCCAGCGGCTCCGGGATCTCCCTGCTCCTGCCTCCTCGGCACCGGGCTTCCTTCCCATGACTGACCCAGCCACCTCCTCCCAGCCTTTCCTCTCCTCTCCAAAGCTGCCCCAGTATCCCAGTTCTCCATCCAAGACACGTCCTACCGAGAGCTGCAACCCCCGTTGGAGACCCGCTGGGTGAGGTGATTGTGAAGGGTCCTTCTGACCTTACAGTCTCTAAGAGATGACCAACCCTTACCCCAGGGGCCCACCAGACAGCACGAGTCTCTCCAGGTCCAATCCACTCATCAGAACGTAGACTCCTTTGCTCACTGTCCCCAAGACATTTTCAGCTGCAATTGGCAAAGGAAAGTGATTTACTGGTGTGCAAAACGAAGGTCAGCTGTTGTCCGAGGGCCTGCGTTCGCTGGGGAGAGGATTCAAACTTTCAGTCCCATTCACTTGTCTTTTTGGCCTGAGATGCAAACATTCAGGTTGAGCTGATACACATACTCCCCACCACTCGAATGTCTCTTCAATCCAACCAAAGCCAAAAAGGGAAAGGTGGTGAAGGGTTACAAGTGCATCTACAATCGCCGCTATTCTCCTGCCTGTTTTCTAAAGAGTAGGGTGCTCTCCAGACATCTTCCAGCTCAGCATTTGTACCAACGAAAATAAGAGACTTAACAGTCTGGGAGGACAAACTGGGAGCCCCCTTCACCACCGCATTAGATTCATAGATTTCATAGATTTCATAGATTTCATAGATTTCATAGATTTCATAGATTTCATAGATTTCATAGATTTCATAGATTTCATAGATTTCATAGATTTCTAGGTTGGAAAAGACCTTAGAGATCCATCCAGTCCAACCGTCCCTAATCCCCCATTAAACCATATCCCTAAGTAGTTCATCCACCCTTTTCTTAAACACATCCAGGGATGGGGACTCAACCACCTCCCTTAGTTTGTGTCTAAGCCAAACTGACAGCATTACATCTGACGTGTGCTGAGAGGGTATCTGAGACGAATGCAAATCCTGGTGTGATGAGCTTTGGGTCACCTCTCTGAGCATCCCCAACACGGGGACCAAAGCGTACGCAGGCAGGCAAAGCTCACCACTTACTACACATCGGAGAGATATATGTTAAGTCTTCTGAGACTGGAGAATATGGACGGTCATTATTGCCCTTCCCGTGAGGGGGGCTGACCAGAGCATGGCAGTTGTTACAAACAAGCGTTGTAAAAAGACAAGTATTATTTCTGTGAAATCGGAACAGGGAAATAGCCACATTAGATAATGGGCTGAGAAAGAAATGTCAAAAAAGCGTTTCACTTTGGGACAACATCACTCACGTGCTGATGTTAACGAGTACCAAAAAGAGAAGCAGGAGCAAAAGGCTCATCTCAGCAAGGCTGTACTCCTACCATCAGGAGAGAACTTAAAGCCTGACAACGGTGCTTTGGAGATGGACAGAGATCATCCACTGATCACACCACGTAGGAGAACTGACATATACTCCAGGCTTTGATCACAAGAGATCCGAGAGGTGTGACATGCAAAGTGAAAACGAGACAGGACTCGGACACGTGCGGATAGTCTCCTGAAAGAATCTGTTTTTCAGTGGCAGAAGCTCGTGGACCACATTGCAAAGCATGTTGATGTAGGGCATGGAGAAGAGGCCCAGCCTCTGCAGGGCCATCACCACGATACTGGAGCTGGGAAGAGGAAGAAGAGCAAAGCTTGATTTTTGGAGAAAAAGCTCAAAAGCACCAGAGACAAGAAAGAAAAATACTAATAGCAAACATTACCCTGAGGAACAGAACGCAAACACCAGCATCAGTAATAATAAAGTGACAAAGCTGTTCATGGGTAAGGACATCTCACACCTCAAAAAAGGACTGAACAGCCTGAATGCTTTCCTGTTTGTCCAGGGAAAATGGATGGACAGTGGTGAGCTGCAGGACACAAAGAGGGAAGACCTGCTGGCTGCCTGTCACAGCAAAAAAAAAAAAAAAAGAAAAAAAAATAAAATTGAGGCTCTGAACCAACTTTTACCAACGCAACATGACCGAATGAATCCATGGACAACACTTGCCAGGAGAAAAACACCTGTGGAGCGTGGCTGACAGCGAAACTCAACGTAGTTTAAAGTGGATGGAATTGCAGTGCCAGAGGACATCTGGATCTGAGAGAAAGATCCCGCAGACACATGAAATGGCATCAAACTGGTTCAGCTTCCGCGGCAGGAGATCAGAAGCTGCATTAATGGCCAGAGTGCAAAGTGTGTTAACTTTCAACACTGCAGTGGTGTGCTGCTCTGAGTTAGCAGAAAATGGAAATCCCATTACCACGAGCACACGCTGCTCTGTACGGATGATTCCCCAGGAGATGATCTAAGACCAGGGCACTGGCCTTTCTGGTTTCAGAGTGGAGGGATCCAATAAAGTTAGAAACGTCACATTTCAGCAGAGCCTCTTTCACTTACTGCAAAGCAGCGTTTGGTGGTGTCTGGGGAGCAGGAGAGTCACCTGCTCTGCAGATATGCAATTAGGATTTTCATGAGTTCAAGAAGGTATTGAACTCCTCCACTTGGTAGATAGGGGCTGGAAATTCTTCTATCAACAAAAATAGCCTCTGGAGTAACAAACGGCCACTGCAGTGGCCCCTGCTGCACTAACTAATGGAGGGAAGGATGTCCATTTTCAGGCTCTGACCCCAAAAGAACTCAGAAACGCTACAGGCAGCCCAAAAGCCTGTTGGATAGTCTCCAGTGATTTTGGAGGAAAAAGAACAACAAAAACTTAAAGGCAAATTAATTTTCCTATATATGAGATGAGAGGCTCTAATGGAAACAAAGAGGTTTCTCTGGAAGCCTCACCGAGGCTCTGCAGAAGAAGCGGGTAAGAGCTAAGCCCATGAGGGTGAAGAGAAGTGACCTACCAAGGGATGTGCTCCTTCACTGCGATCCCGTACACTGCGCTTTTCCAGTTCCACCAGCTCTCTTTCCAGGCTGCCAAAGAGCAGATAACCATCTGCAAAGCCCTCCAGCTCACAGTCTGAACATGAATCTAATTAGTGATCCGATTTATCTGATGAAGAAGACAGGAAACCACCATGTGCATACTGCCACGATTTGAACCCGACTCACCCGGGACCTTGCAGTCTTCAAAGACCAGCTCACAGGTGTTAGACCCTCTCATTCCCAGCTTATCCAGCTTCTGGGATGTGCTGAAACCTGGCATTCCCTGCAAAGCCCAGAGAGTAAAAACGGGTTTCAAATCTCAGTTCTGACAGTCTGAACAGAAATCTCGAGATGTCTGTCGAGCACACGAGCACGCGCAGGGTACCAGATGGGAGCCACAGTGAACTGCCCACTCTGGGAACCAGAGGAAGCCAAAGAGCAGAGAAACATGCCCAAGTCAGGAGCACACACGAACTGAGTGCATCCATTTTCCAATGCACTTAAATAGTAAATAAATAAAGTATTTGGGCAGCTGCTGACACTGACTCTTCTAGAGAAAAGGTTGAAAGCTTTGCCAGTAACTGAACTGTTCTAACCATTAGGTCAGGTGAAGTCCATCAGAAGGTTTACTATCTCTGAGATTTTATGTTTCCAGTACCATTTACTTTATTACAGCTTTCTGTCTTCCTTGTGGTGACAGAGACATGTATAGCCTAGCCTCAAATAATCACAAGGAAAGAAAAAACCCAAGAGATTCCTGTTTTCCAAGGGCTCCTCATTGAACAGCTGTTTCTGCTCCCTTTGGCCCACTCCCTTTGCATGCACGTTTGGGGCATTCCAGGATTGTGAAGGGGCAGTGCGAGAAAATAAGGGGGAAGAAATGGATAGAGGTATTTTAATGTCTTAGCTTAAAAAAAAAAACCCACAAAGTTAGATAATGGGATAGTAGGACATGTTCACAAGGCCTCCGATATCTCTGATGATTTCTGGCAACAAGCAAGCCCTTTTATATTAGAATCTTGTCCGTTCTCTCCACATTTCTAGCCCAAAAGCCTGGTCACATGCTTGGCTACCAAAATCCAGGGGTACCCAGCTGAGAGTGCGGTATGCCACGTCACGGGGGCAGAGCACTAATCTCATGGGTTTATAAAATTCCGTCAGGAAGTAGTTTGTCTTTGAGCAAGAGGCTGGCAGTTGAAGAAACAAAACCAGAGCCTGTTAGGGCGAAGGAGTTGGCTTTAAAAACCCACATGACAATCAGCTTGTGAGAATTATTAAACTTACCCTCTCCACAATGAACGCGGTGATACCTCGGGAGGCTGGAACAGCGCTGACGTCAGTTTTGGCATAAACGATGAGAACATCTGCATCTGGCCCGTTGGTGATCCAAAATTTGTTCCCATTCAAAACAAAGTAGTCTCCTAGAAGCAAAGAGCTGCAGTCTGTTAGCTCGCAACAGAGCGACACCGATATCCTCACCCCATTAACTTCAAAACAGGCTTCCAAGGATGCTCTTTAAGACCCCCACAAACAGCATGCACAAATCTTTCCAAAGTTTAAGAAAACTCATTTCCTTCACCTCTGCAGTCTAAAGACAGTTTAACAAAGGCCTGACAAATGCAGGTGCCTCGCACTGGTTCCATCATACCACCAGCCTCTACCACGACAATCAGAAGTCCACTTTTAGATCTTCAACCATCCACCTTGTGCCTTCGCTACCTGCCCTTACCACACATCGAGTCTCCTAGGAGGCAGCACAAGCCTGCAGTCGTGGGTGGGCATGGCCAAGACCAAGCACCGTGCCTCCGTGGCGCAGAGGAGGTTAGTCTGGATTCACAGGAGATGCTATTTACACCAGCTATCTATCCAGGCAGCACGTGACAAGCTTTACCTTTCTTATCTGCTCTCAGCTTCATGGACACAACATCGGATCCGGCGTTGGGTTCGCTCATTGCTAAGGCTCCAACGTGCTCCCCGCTGATTAGCTGGAAGAAAAAGACAAATATGAGAAAGGGAGGGAGAACAGTAGCATTGTTTCTGCTCCCTCTTTAGTCTGCCTTTTTCCCCCCCCCCCCCTTCTACAGTAGCTGTTCTGCAAACGAGAGCCGTTGCTGCTGGCAGAGCCCTGGCAGGGAGCTCCCTCGTGCTGCTGGATGGAGGGAACAGAACCAAATCACAGTGGGACGAGCAGGATGACTCAACTCGTGTCTGAACTAGACGAGTACAGTCCTGCTCGTAACCACCATCTCCGGGGAGGTGCCAAAAGACCCATGCAGGCAGCCATATGCCTTCCACCAGCTCCTCGTTCCGCGCTTTATGACTGCCCTTTTACATAAACAGCAGTTGTTAAACACAAAGGCCAACGAGGGGGATGAAGAGAGACCGCAAAGTTCTCACAGCCCGGTCCCCCCACACTCACACTGCAATAGCAGATGGACACCCTCCTTCTGTGCCTGCTCATACCAGGCTCTGGCATAGCTGCTGCTTCCTCCTCCCTGTTCCCTTCATCCTGCCCTTTTCTCGCTTTTTTCCCCCCTCCTTTGATCTCTCTTATTTTTTTTTTTTAAAAACAAGCTCAATGCTTAAGATACATGTTCAACCAATTCAATCCATCAGTGCATTTCTGCAGAAGTCTTCATGATCTGCTCAAAGCTACTGAAGTACCATTAAGTACCCTGTTGTAAACCCAGACCAGCAAGACCGAAGTTTCTTGCGCTGGTAATTCCAGCAGCTGGAATTCAACGGAGTAGTTAAGTTCTTCCGTGCATTTAAATCCTGAAATCTGTTTAACGTGCCTTTGAGTCACAAACATCAGCGCCCCAAGTGACAAAGTTTCACATGTAGTTAACTAGCACGGGCAAACCAAACATTTGGGCAGTGAGAAGTGGAGAATATAAACCAGGAAAGCAGTGGCTTTCACTCAGAAATCTCAAAACGATGTGGGAAGTTGAAAGAACATCATCCAGTGTCACCTCAAAGCCTCATTTAGGAACACAGCCCCAGAGAGCTGGACTATGCTGCCTACAGACACGGACCTCAGCACGGGTTGAGGTCAATATGGATTAACTGGACCAAAATTAATAAGCTAGAGAAGGGAAAGTTTGGCACGCGCAGTATTTCCCAAAGGCTGGGCTACTGAAATCCGTTAAAATGCTACACCCCACGAAAGGCACTCATCCCTGCATGCAGCCAAAACCCAAATGCTTTCCGTTTTCCCTCTCTTCCAGCCACATACCTTGGGCAAATACTTGTTCTTCTGGGCCTCGTTGCCGTTCCGCACCAGCTGGTTGATACAAAGGTTGGAGTGGGCACCGTAACTAAGCCCAACAGCTGCTGAGGCACGAGAAATTTCCTCCATCACCAGCACGTGGTCCAGATAGCCCAAAGCAGATCCACCGTATTCCACTGAAAAGGGAAACCTCACGTTAACCACCACGGAGTACATCACATGCACACACAAGACCTCAGGGTCGGGCTCCGTCTTGAATGACATCCGAGACACTTTACAAGAGAGCTTCTGGTTTTGACGGACACTGTCCCTGAGCTGGGCACCTCTGGCTTTCCCCATCCTCTCTGAATTTCAGTTTTCTTATCTCAAAGGCACAGTGATATTACTTGTTCAGCATAACCAATAATTCACTTGTACAGCATGGTTTGATACATATAACATGCATAAGGATACGTCTAAAAGGTGCTACCGACGCTTGCACAATAACGAGTCCTTCTTGTCAACCACCCTGAAGTGCAGCCTTAATATTATCACAAAGATTAAATCACAAAGTGGCAGCCTGGATTAGGGGAGATGACACAGGTGGAGTTTGTAAAGTCCACACGTGTGTGTCATAACAAGGACCCCTAAACAAGTGAAGAATCCTCAAAATGCTCAAAAAGTGTGCCACCAGCGACTCCTCTAAGCCCTTAAGCCAGGAGAGCAGCATTTTGATGGGAGTCGATTCAGAATGAGAATGATCCATACATGTAAGTAACTGCTGGAATTCACCAGTGGCAAGAATGTGGATTTCAAGAGAAGATGAAGTGAGACACAGCAGCACGGTCGTTGTAACTGGGAATCTAGCTGGGCACACTGAGCTGAGTCTAAAACCGGTGGTAGATTAAAGGCACACAGCAGAACGGGGAGAGAGAGAAGGCTGAGAAACATATAATGGCCTTCAGCAGCTGACAGCCTACATAAATATATACATATATAAACCTACACACGTTTAAATACACACAAATGCAGTCACATCCCAAAGTAAAAGCTTTGTCCTACAGGCAGGAAGCAAGTGATTGTACTACTAAGAGAAGAACTAAAAGAGCAGGACGTAAACACTGTGAACAAGTCGGGGGGCAACCTGGGAGCACTCACTCGTCATCAACATGAGTGCTGTAAATAAGCAGCAACAACAGCAGGAGTAAAAAATGTTTGTGTGCTCAGAAAGACCAAAGACCTGAGCACATAACCCGGGCTCGGAGAGGGCTCCTGTCCCAAATTAACACAATCGCCGCCGGCGTTAGACGCTGCCTTTCCTCCCACATTGTTCTGATTCCTGTCTTTATCTGCAGGGCTCTTTATCCTCCGAAATCACCTCTTTACAACAAATCAGAGTTCGGCTCTTTACTACCAATACCCTGAAAGATGGGTTTAACAGTTTCTCAGGTATGCCAAGACAAGAGGGTTTTCTATTCATTCCTCTAGAACGATGGGTTGGGTGCTGTCGCCTCAAGAAAGGAAAGGTAGCAGCCTGCTGTAGGCAGTGCTGGCCCACGATTGCCTTGTGCTGCAAGAGGTACAGGAAAATAATCCTGCCAGACAGCTCCTCGTGTAACACAAACCATCGTGTGAGTTGGGGTGATGCTGCCCTTGCAGAATCACTCTCTATGTGCAACATGCCTGTATTACTGTTCCACGGTAGCTACGTATTGGCGTTACTTAACTTAGGTCTTTATAAAATAAACGGGAAAATACATCAAACCAACACAGTCCTCCCCGTTTTGAAAAGAAAACAAAACACACTCTTACTGGAAACGCTCCCTGAACAGACTTGATCCACCGATGCCCAAACACACCATTTAATTGAGCATACGCCCTCGTAAGATTTCACATTATCTGCACGTCCTAAATCCCGGTCTCCACCTCCGACGACAAAACCAATGCCAACAAAGAAACTGCACGTAGCTATACAATCAAAAGTAAGGCCAAAAAATTCTGAGCATAGGAGGGTTTTAGAGGTAAATCTTTGAGGAAATCCAAAGGGACAGGACTCACGAGGGGATGGCTTATTTATAGTGTGGGAAACTGCTGTAAGCCTCAGGCACAACATCAAAGAAGAAAGAAGGTAAGAGTGAGAAAAAACAGGAGCAGCAGTAAATTGGGAAGAGTAAAGAGAAAGCAAGCAGGAATACAGACTCTTTCAAGCAGACTCCGCGCCGCTGAAAGAAACGCAGAGGCATTATTTGGGGGCATTGCTATTCAGCTTGCTTCTGCAGCAGCCTTTGCACACCCACATCCAGAAACACAGACTTTACGACGGGGAAATAAAGGCCCCATTGGCTGCTTTTCTCCACTAAGGGCTTCTCCTCATTACACTCTGTTAGTGCATTCAGCATGACCACGGCAGCCTCAGTAATCTATAACATTAATCAAAACACTTTTCAACTAACCTGGACAAGGCTGAATAAGATTTACCCCGATTTTTTTCTCTGACTGGTTGGATGTGGTCAGCCCTCCATTAGTTATCACGGCTTTTCACAGCATTGTTTTCTACCCTCCAACTTCTATTAGAGATGGATGTTTGTTCTGGGATACTTTTATCTATAGCTCTCCTTCTTCAGAACTTGCAGCAAACGCTTCGTGTTGGAGAAGCGCCAACGCGGCCGAGTTGCATATGTTATATCTGGATAAACCACTGCTGAACAGTACTTTTCAATTCTAAAAGCCCTTTTGTAACCATCCAGAAGTCCAATAAAGAAAAAGTTATTCTTCGCTGACTCAGAACCCCAAAGTTACCAAAGAGTTTTTTTAAAAAACAAGAAGATAGGAGCTTCTGGACGCAACGGATGCCACAGCACAGACACGGTTGTTATGAACTGGAAGAGGTGAGTTTAAGTCGTCTCTCTTTTGTTTGAGGAATCACTCAGCAGAAGGTAAAAGGTACAAACAGACTTACCAGGAGCTGTGATCCCCAGAACTCCAAGTTCCCCCAGTTTCTTCCAAAACTCCTACAAATACAGAACAAGCAATCAGTCCGGACTTGCGGTCAGAGCATCAGCATAAAAAGTTTTCCCAGGCAGCTCACTGGAAACATCCATTTACCTTATTCTTGCCATATCTCAGAGATAAAGACACCAATACCTACCAATCCCTTGGATTGAGAACCTAGACAGACTTAAGGACATTAGTTATGCTACACATGGCAGTGGCCTCTTGAATACAGCAAGAATTCACGAGCCTAAATTTAATTCTGGAAGGACAAGTCCTAAGATTTAACTCATTGCCCAGTTTAAGGAGAATTTTGATGAATTAAAACCATCCATTGATTTCAAAAACTGCACTTCCAGGCTTTCATATGCTCTCCCTTGCTAAAGATTATTTAGGACGTTATGACTCAAGTTTATGCTTGCCTGTTACGTCACGCATCCTTGTCGCTGTGCTTCGGCAGCACCGTGGGGGCCTATCAGCCTGCGGTTGCTGCAAATAACAGTGAGCATAAGCTATCCATGGCTAAAATCCCTGGAAATACTGGGAAGAGTTGCTTTTAGTCAGCACTATTAAAACTCTTCTAGTAAAACAGAAACTGGTAAGTAAAGCCAAGGAAGTCTCCTTGGGAGAGACAAGAAAAAGGGGATGCCACAGCTGGGGCAGCCAGAGGTGCTGCCTCGCAGAAGAGTTACAAAAGCTGACCACGACAGAATTTGCAACACTTGGGGCTTGTGAAGCTGAAGGAACTGAATCCACAAGGACCGCTCAAGTACATAACCTCCAGGTTTTCAAGACTGCCAGGCCACCAGACACACACGGGGACCGGGCAGCATTACTGAGTTTTGCTTACTTGGACACCTATGCCACAAAGCCCATCTGCCAGAGGACAAGCTGTCCTCCTTGACCACCGACTCCTCCACTCTGGCCACACCACCACTCAAGGGACAGCCACGATTCAAGGAAGAGAGCTGACAGCTGACTAGAGACATACCCATCAGCTGCGCCTGGCACTCGGCATCACAGAGCAAGAGGGAAGATATGACGTAATGCAGTGGCAAAGGATGTCACCAACGAGGACCATACAGATGCTGGAGAGGTCATCTCTCTGTCGCTGCTTCAGACTGCAGCCTCTCCTCTGCTACACGCAGGTAAACACCTGTCACAGGGCCTCAGCATCCAGCGATAAGAAAGTTATCAGTGAATAGTCTCCAGAGACTTCAGAAAGTATTATTCAATAGTTCTGGATGACATCTGGTGCGCCAGACTAAATTGATATACTTAACTTCAAAGCTACGCATGTATCTCTGAAAACATCAACATCAGAGCTCTGGGAAACCCTAGCAGATGTTCTGAGCTTTTTAAGTCCTGTGGAGCTTATGAAAACCAACAGTTAGGTCTCTCATTTTCATCAATCAAACCAGCCTGTTGCACAGAATTTGTTGGTTTTATTAGGAAGGCAAGTTTCAGCTCGACGGTCAAATAACTCTACATTTCAGCAACTGCACACAGTATTTTCACAACAAATCTGAGAGGAAACGCCCATGTCCAAGAAAGGGTCCTAGCTAGGAGAATACAAACCACATGTTGGAGGAGTCTCAACAGAGCCAAGCAGAAATACCACCATGAGAATCCAAATGAGACCATTATCAACCTTTTGTTTTAAAATTCTTTTTTAATTGGATGCTGGCTGGGTTCTGCCCTGGGTTGCTGAAAGTTGTTAACAAAAGACACAACAGGAAATTAAAAAAAAATTGTTTTCTCTATGGATTTCAAGTCTGAAAAGTTAACACATACGTCCCTGCGGTGTGGACTGGGATTCTTTGTCTGGACTAATGTACAGATCAAAGTACAGACAGGCTTTCGGTACCATCCATTTCAAATGCACACGTGAAATACTTGCCCGCATGCCTTTGAATTCATTTTCCTGGTCAATCTGTTGGGCCTTCGGAGCCAAATGCTCTTGACAGAACTTGGTCATGGTCTGTCTAAGCTGGGAAAAGAGGTAAGGAGAAAAACATATGTTACATCTCACCAATATATTGTCTTCTTCCCTGGGATCCTGCCGACATTCCCCTGCCAGGTGGCTCCAGGATCCCAAACCCAGAAGCACGAGACCATAAGGAAGTTGATGTTTTGGGTTACTGGTTGAAAGACCCTTTAGTTTTTTAAAGGGAAGGTCCTGACGTACTTCAGTTCCTCTCTGCATTTAACCTTAACAGTCTTACCCCAACACAAGAGCTGCACTAGGGCTCCAGGGGATGGTTTTGAAAGCTGATGAACAGAGCTTATGATGCATTATCCCCACCCAGTAGCTGCTCAGGGTTTCATTTAATTGTATGCAGATGTCTGTAATAAGCACGCATACTAATTAAAATGTGTTATTGTATGAAACTGGAGCTACGTTAGCTATCCTACTGTTTTCTTCAGAGGGAAAGTTTGATAAAGTCAGGTCTGCTTGCTGTTCTAAGTGTTAAAAATCTCAAAATCTTTTCTGAGTTTTAAAATCTAAATACTCACATACGTGTCTTCTGCAGAAGTCTATATACATACTAAGAAAACACATACAATATATTTTTAAGTGTTTTTAACATCAAGATTCAAAATCTTTGTCTAGATATTATGGTAGAGTTTATTAATACCATTTTTCCTTTTCATTCTTTATTCCTACAATATTTTCCTCCTTTTACACCTGCTGAATGTAGCAGCACAAAGAAACATCAAGTTAATTTGAGTTGATGAGGCCACAAACCACAAACAAAACTGGTAAAGAATAACTCTGTAGTAAGAAAGAAGTGAGAATGAGTAAGTTTATTTTCTACATCCACATGTTTGCACTGTCATAATTGCCTAGGAAGTACAGCTACAGCTCCAGACTCAAGAAGCACCAAGGAAAAAAGAGTTTAATTGGTAGAAGCCTGTCTGGGTCAGCAAGGAGTAACTGCTGTGACGACCAGCACGAGGCTGCTTTTGGACTGGATGATCTCTAAGGTCTTTTCCAACCTAGAAATCTATGAAATCTATGAACACAGGAGGAAACAGTAAAGCTGAGAACTGCTATCCTAAAGCTTTAGGTCCCCCATTGGGTAAGAAAACAAGCTGGGAGAGCTGCAACACTTCTTTTGAGAGGATTTGACAAGCCCAAATGAATCTGTTTCTTTGCTCATCGTATTCTGATCAAAGAGGCCCAACATGAATGCAGCGGACTTCTTTTTTTACGCAATGCTTCGTCCTGTTTTATCAGAGAGTCACAGAGCTGTTTGGGTTGGAAGGGACCTC